GACTAGTCTGGGGTCTCTAGATGGTCGCTGGGTCTCTACATGGTCTGTATGGTCTCTTGGTGGTGTCTATGGAGGTCGCTGTGGGTTTCTGGAGTGGTCTGAATGGTCTTTAGATGGTCTCAGAATAATCTCTGGGGGTCTCTGAATACATGGGCACGGTGGCGTGGTGGTTAGCACTGTTGCCTCACAGCAAGAAGGTCCTGGGTTCGATTCCGCCCAGTGGCCTTTCTGTGTGGAGTCTGCATGTTCTCCCCGTGTCTGCGTGGGTTCTCTCCGGGTTCTCCGGCTTCGTCCCACAGTCCAGACATGCTCTGGGGATCAGGTTGATTGGGGACTTTAAATTGCCCGTAGATGTGTGAATGTGAGTCTGAATGGTTGTATGTCTCTGTGTTGGCCCTGCGATTGGCTGGCGACCAATCCAGGATGTACCCTGTCTATCGCCCGAAGTTGGCTGGGATGGACTCCAGCCCCCCCGCGACCCTGTGTGCAGGATAAGCGGTTTGACAATGGATGGATGGATGGTCTCTGAATACGCTCTAGATGCTCTCTATGTCTCTCTCTTGGTGTTTCTGGGATCTCTGAATAGTCTTGTATCTCTAGGTGCTCTCTGGAGTTAGTGAATGGTCTCTAGATGCTCTCTGGTGGTGGTGGTCTCGCCGTGGCCTCTGAAGAAGAGCAGCAGTGTCTCTCACAGGAGTGTCGGCTCAGATACCTCACATAACTCAAAGGTGCCCTAAGGCTGAAGGGTCCTCATTACTCTAATGTGCAAATCAGTGAGCAGGAAGTGGTGAAGCTCTGATCTGATGTATGGAGGTCTAACTAAGAGGACGAAAAGTCTGAGCCGCTATACTGATGACATCCTGCAGCTGATATTCAAGAATCCTCTTATCCACTTATTTTGCCAGGATGTTGTTGTTTAATTTGAAAGCTGATCAAACGACTATGGGATGTATGATAATTTATGTTTTTTAAGCTGCTTCGCTCTCAAAACCGGTTATAATTATAATAATTGGAAAGCTAAGTATTTCTTAATATTTACAATGAGGAGGGTGAATGGTTTATTCATACACCACAAATGTCACGTGACTCGTCAGGGGTTTGTACTTGTACCTCTTCGCTGCTGCCATGAGAGGTTGAAAGGACAGCTGGGAGAAGACAGCGCTCACAATGACGAGCAGCTTCTCTCATTTAATGGATCTATCAGAAGTAGGCGGGGCTTGTGGTAGGAGTCCGGGCACAGATGTCATGACACCGTTATTGATTGTTCCACATGAGTGTGACCTTGCCACAGGAGCTCAACCAATTTAAAAAACGGTTTCTGTAAGGGTGGGGCCAATGGGAACAAGTGAGCAGATCTATATATCAAAGGATCAGTTACACCTGTTCACCTGTACTGAACAGGTATGTGTCAATCAAACTGACTTAATATGATTGGTTGTTTAAAAGACAAAAAGGAAGCGCATGTATGACAGAAAAATGTATGATTCAAGAAATGTGCAATAAAATATAGTTGTAAAGAAAATACTGTAAAAAGGTAAAAGTTAAGAAAAACTGTGCAGTAAAACTTTTCATTATGAGTATTAATATTAATATTATTTGAAAGTGGATTTAAAATTGAAATGTTGTGGTATTAAAACGTTTATTATAATATTAACAGTGTTAGTAATGTGTTTCTTAAAATATATATAAGTGTTAGTATACCCTGTATTAGTGCTATTAGTGTTTTCATTGAAATATTATTAATGTGTTAGGTAAAATACAAACGTTTTATTCAAAGGTTTATTTTCTATTATATTCATATAAATTCAGTTAATTTTGTCTAACCAAAATGCAACAGGTTGTGTGGTCATTAAAGTGCTTTTATGAATATAATATAAAGATACCTAATAATATTACTCATACTCATTTAATACTACTAATATTTAATATATATAATACTACTAATATTACTAATACTATTCAGTAATCCTGTGACTTATTAATACTGCTCATTTTTACAAATATTGAATCAATATTATTAATATTAATCATACTTATTAATGCTACTAAATACTAGTGATTTCCTTTATGCTACGGATACTAACACTACTACTATAAGTACTACTAATATTACTCATGCCCATGAGACTAACTCAGAGTATTTACACTAATATCTCTATTATCAAAATGTTCCAGTAATCTTTAACCAGAGCGGGGCCCCGGCTCCGCCTCCTTAGACCTTTGATAAAGTCAATTTGCCTAAATCCTTGTGGGAGGGGGGTTAATCTACTTTCCTTAGGAGGGGGGAATGACAGTTACATCACATGTGCATTTCAAACCTGATTCCCGAACTCTGAAGAAGCACAAAGCTGCCTCGGGCCTTAAAGGGCCTCCAGCCCCCTACAGGTACAAATATGGAACCAGGCCTTTACTCTCAAGTGTCCCAGGCATTCAGGGGCCTCCAGGCCCCTACAGAGAATATGGAACAACACCATTCCTCTTCATGGCCCTGGGCGTCCGGGACGTCCACCCAGACAATCATTTTCTTTCTGTATCATAAAACAATTAATTTACAATTTACTTCATAATTCTATGATTATGAACATTTTTAATTCGTGCAACCAAAAAAAACTAAATTCCTTTGAATTGTTTCAGGATCCAGAGAAGTGTGTTCGTCCATCTGGGGTAAAGGGGGGGGGGGCACTCTTCCTCTGTGTTTTGTCCCCAGCTCTTTTCACCGGAGACGAAGACGCCACCGGCGGGGAGACGCTCAGAATCGTGATTAAGAACAGGAGAGAGGAGCTTTTCTTTATTTTGCCCTCCGGGGGTGTTTACTGCGGGGGAGGGGTCGGGGGGGGTATGAAAGACATTCAGGTCAGTCATAATAAGAGCGACAGAGTACAGTAATCTGAAAAGTGGTGGTATACGAAAGGCACTAAACCTGTCTCCTACAGAGACATTAGACCTGTCTTTAGTAGAGAAATTTAAGATGTCTCCTAAAGGGACATTGGACCTGTATCTTCCTGGGACATTAAACCTGTCTCCTACAGAGACATTGGACCTGTCTTTAGTAGAGAAATTTAAGATGTCTCCTAAAGGGACATTGGACCTGTCTTTAGTAGAGAAATTTAAGATGTCTCCTAAAGGGACATTGGACCTATATCTTCCAGGACAATAAACTTGTCTCCTACAGAGACAATTGGACCTGTCTTTAGTAGAGAAATTTAAGATGTCTCCTAAAGGGACATTGTACCTGTCTTTAGTAGAGACATTTAAGATGTCTCCTAAAGGGACATTGGACCTGTATCTTCCAGGGACAATAAACTTGTGCCTTTACAACGAGAAGAACCATGTTGATGGTGGATCATCTCTCTGGATTTAGATGATGTCATGGATTATAAAAGTAGTTTTGTTTCATCATCAGATGGTCTGTCGTTATTGATTACCATCAGAATTATTATCATTACTTAGAATAGTTAGTATTATAATAAATAAACTGTTTTATATAGTGATGTGTGAGTAAACACATCGTCTCTGAGATGACAAAGACACCACTGTACGACATGAATGGTGCAGCAGGCAGCCTGGCACCTCCTCCTCCTCATCTTCTTCTTCCTCTTCACCTCCTCCTCTTCTTCTTCCTCTTCACCTCCTCCTGTTCTTCTTTCTCTTCACCTCTTCTTCTTCCTCCACTTCCTCCCCCTGTCTTACTCATCCTCTTTCCCCTCATCTGCCTTCTCTTCCTCTTTTCCTCCTCCTCCTTCTCTTCACCTCCTCCTCCGCTGGATCATTCTCAAGCTGCTCCTCCCCAAACACGTAGTTGCTCCCTAAATTATAACATTTGGATCCTTTAGCTGATGCTTTTAATTAGAAGGACCAGAATAACGTTTAAAACAAGGCTCCTAAACGTTCTTAAAATACTGAATTCAAACAAATAAAATCTTAAATGTTCCTTGGATTTTTTTTATTTGATGTAATAGTTCTCTAACTGTTTTATAATTAGTATCTAATTGTTCTCTCCTTAGATCCACATCTTCAGTCATGTGACATGTTTCAGAAACAATTCCTAATTTCTAGAAACTTAAAAGACTTGGATGAGAATCTAAAAAGAACAATAAGCTCCAGAGATGAGCCAGAAACGATCATCTAAAAGCACAGCTGGATGTGAGAACAGATACACCCCCTCCTCCCCCCAAGGGAGGAGACGGAGCAGAAAAAGACCAAAAAGGGGAAACATATAATTAAAAATAAATACCATTCATTCAACATCCCCGGTAACAAAGCGTTTTTATTTATAATAAATTACACAAGTTAATAAAAGTAAACCTGAAGCTTTTGCTATTTCTATCTTTTGTCTTCTGCTTGGATATCAGCATGAGAAACGTGGGGCGATACTTAATACTATAATACTACACTACTAATACTATATATAAACTAAAAACAATCTGATCTATGTGGGATTAATGAAGGTATTTACCAGATATGTATTGCATATTTAATAGACATTTAACTCTTTAAAAGTGGATTTAATGTGAGAATAAACAGGCTATTTTATAGTGTGTGAAGTAAATGGACCTCCACCTCCTCCTCCTTTTTCAACCCAACATGAAAATAGAAAGATAGAATAATAAAGATGAATTATTGAGCTTCACGTAAACGTTAATGTTCGTTAGGGAGAAGTTTCATATTTAAATCTCTCGTCTTCAGATCGGAGCGCGAGCGTCCGAACGCGTCTCGAGGAGCCAAAGAAATAACGGTCTCTCTGCTCCGAGACCCGGGACTTGGTGGAGGGAGCCCGGACCCACCAGGTCCCACCGGGTCCCACCAGGTCCCACCGGGTCCCACCAGGTCCCACCAGGTCCCAGGTACAGCCGGAGGCCCGGAGGCTCCGCACTGAGTCTCGCACCTCTCAAACCTCCGCAAAGTCCCGTAAAAACTTTGAGCCTGTCGCCGCGACCCGGCGTGCGTGTGTGTGTGTGTGTGTGTGTGTGTGTGGGTGTGTGTGTGTCTGTCGGTCCTACCGTTCTTCCTCCGGGGGTTGGCCTGCTTCCTTCTCTTGCAACGGGGACCCTCCGCCATGATCTGTTGCTTCATTGAGGACTCCGATCCGGATCCTGACAACAGGCACACAAAGTAAATCCACCGGACCCTCTGCGACGCCTTCAGGGACCTCCGGACAAACCAAACCTCCCAGCGGCTGATCTCTGATGAGAGGAGAGCGCGTGTGACAGAGGAGGGCGAAAGCACACAAGGACCCACACACACAGAGACACACACACAGACACACACGCACACACAATTTGACTTGTGAAATCAATAATGATCGTGTTGATCTTCAGGGCTTTGATCAGTCTGAATGTATATTTTAATACGTCATTATAAGTGCGAATACATTTGTGTTTATATAGGTGAATATACATGTTCATATCGATCTAAATATGAGTGCATTTTAATTCTATATAACAGACGTGAGCGGTTATGTAAGATGATAGAAGATTCCGTTGTATCATCTATTTGCGGATCAATAAAACTAACACGTGTACAATCATTTTACGACAGTTCGACGGTATTTGTAAATAGTCCCGATGATGTTTGTTTATCTGATTATAAACGTCCTCTGGTTTCCTGTTAATAAGACTTAGGATATTAATTGAGCGCGTGGAGGAGCGGAGAGAGGGAACAGATCTGCGCCTCCACCTCCTCCTCCTCCTCCTCCCACACCTGGAGCTGCGAGAGGGAGCGCGCACCTGTCAGCTCTCACCTGGGCGCGTGGCGCAGGTGACTGCCGCGCTTTGATTGGCTGCTGAGATAAAAGCGAGGGGACCTACCGGAGAGAGCGCGTGATCCCTCGCGCCGGTGAAGGGTACCCGCGACGACGCCAAAGAGCTGCTGCAGCGCGTGCACCTCCTCCCAAAATGTGCAGACAGATGTGCGTCCCGGTTCTCCTGGTGCTCACAGGCAGCAGTTCTAATCTGGGACTCGGTGGTCTGGGTGACTCCTCCTACTGGAGGGCTCTCTTCTTCGAGCACGCGCCACCTATCATCACGCGGAGGGATAATTGAGGAGCGTCGTCCTCGCGCGCCGCTGCTCGATGGCCTCCACGGACTGCGAAGCAGCTGATTGGATCCCGCAGTACATCACAGGTATGTTACCTGTGCAGGTGAAGCCTCTCAGCAGCTGTTTTCTGTCATAAACACAGACACACACACACACTCACACACGTACACACACCTCACAGACACAAATGCACGTAGAAATACACACAGAAATACACTTACATACACACAAATGCACACAAAAGACTCTAATGCATAAAGACACACATGCACTAACACAAATGGAATTGACATATGAAAAATAAATACAACACTTTTATTAAGTAGAGTAAAACTTAGTTTGAAATAAATTGACGTTAACCACACTGTAAAAACTAATTCAGGGGACCTTTAGTCATTACTTAAATATATATATTGGTGTGAATTAAAAAATAAAGTTCAGAGATACGGTTAGAGTTTTTACTTATAATTGTTATTTTATTGAGACACACAAATTATGCCTATTGATTCAATGTACAATCATGACTTGTCTGAGTTTAAAATTATCGGTTAATCAAAACATAATTTAATTTTAAGTTCTGTTGACGTAAAAACAGCCCACAGTTTCCCGCTCCTGCTCAAAGGGAACAATCTAACGCGAGCGATGTACAGCCATATAACGGTGATTCATGCACTGGGTTTTACTTCACTTTATAACAACACTTACTTCCAGAAGTACTTCTGGAAGTAAACCGGAAGTTGACTGCGGGAAAACGAAACAGCCGCTAGCTTCAGTCAGTTACATCACAGAAAGCGAGACGGTAGCTCAAGATGGAGAGAGCTTTTTGCGTCATAAAACAGAGTCGTGACATACAGCGGAGAACTGTACAGAGGAACTTCTCCATGTGTCAAAGAGACGGACCACTTAAAGCACCGCTATGTTAAGCTAGCTGCTAGGCTACTTCCATCCCGACATCTACCCTGCACGGCACACAGTCTGCATCCTCCTCTGATGTTCAGAGGGTTGAAATAAGGCTGAGGGTACGATACATCTGTCTGGACCTCGACCCGAATCAATCTGATTGAATCATGGCAGGCCAGAGAGGAGGAGGAGGAGGGACGAGTAGATATGAAAGGAAAGAGGAGAGAGGAAGAATCATGAGGACCTCCTTGCCTCTAACCCTGGTTGAGAAGGTGATCTCTGTCTGAGGCCCATGACAGATGCACACATACACACACACACTCCTCTGCAGATGGGATTACAGAGAAATAATTCAGCTTGACTCTTCTCTCCCTCCTCCTCTCTCTGGACCTGATGATGTTCACCGCGTTTACATCAAGGTGTACACGGGGAACACGGGAACTGAAATCAAGAAAGAACAGCCTGGCATAGGCCCTGGGATTCTCAAGGTGTTTAGTCACTCGGCGCACTATAATGTTGGTTTCATCATCAGTGCCTCTGTGCGGTGTGTATGCAAACTGGTAGGGATCCAGCTGCGGGCCTACGTCAAGAGGTACTGAGCTCCTCCATAAACTTCAGAACACTTGAAGTTAGAGCAATAGGTCTAAAGTCAGTGTTGTCGTGTGGACAGGGTTTCTTATGGACAGGTGTGGTGATTGCCTTTTTCCATTGTGTTGGCACAGTGTGACTATTTTTGGTTTCCCTGGTTTAGTCCCGCCCCATAGCAACCCCTGCTCTATAGTCACCAATTATACACCTGTCAATCAGCGTGTAGCTCTACCCTAAAGCAACCCCTGCTGTATGACCTGACCATAATTTACCCTCATGAGGAGTTGGAGGTCGTATGCCTTTACTTCAGAATGCAGATGGTGAATTTGTGTCAGCAGAGTAAAGATCATTTAAGATAGTTGATGGAGTTTTGATTCAATTTCACCTAAAAATTCAGGTATTTATAAAAGTAATTTTCCACACTGTTGTTGTGCTTTAATTTATTTTATTTCATATCGCCCAAAATCACAAATGACAAATTTGCCTCAGCTTTACAGTCTATACGCATGTAACATCCCTTGTCCGGAAACCCAACGGGAGAAGATCCTTTTCCTGGGATGGAGAGTATGCAAAGGGTGTCATGTGTAAAGAATGAACAATGTAAAATATGTACAGTACTTTCATTTCATACAATGAGAAATGATTAAAATATTCAGAGTAGTAAACCAGTTATAAGGAAGGACGACTGCCGGAACAACAACCATCAGATACAACCACCATGAATTACAACCACCATCAAATATAACCACCATCAGATGCAACCACCATCAGATGTAACCACCATCAGATGTAACCACCATCAGATGTAACCACCATAAGATATAACCATTATCCGATATAACCATCATCAGATATAACCACCATCAGATATAACCATCATCAGATGTAACCATCATCAGATATAACCACCATCAGATATAACCATCATCAGATGTAACCATCATAAAATGTAACTACCATCAGATGTAACTACCATCAGATGTAACCACCATAAAATATAACCATTATCAGATATAACCATCATCAGATATAACATTATCCGATGTAACCATTATCAGATGTAACCATCATCAGATATAACCACCATCAGATGTAACCACCATCAGATGTAACCACCATCAGATATAACCATCATCAGATGTAACCATCATCAAATGTAACCACCATCAGATATAACCATTATCAGATGTAACCACCATCAGATGTCACCATCATCAAATGTAACCACCATCAGATTATAACCATTATCAGATATAACCATCATCAAATATAACCGCCATCAAATATAACCTAATAAAGATTAGATGTAACTGCCATCAGATATAACCGAAAGCACACAAAGAGTTCAGGAAAGAAACAAAGTAAGTAACGGTGGTTTATGATGACCGTAATAGTAATGTGACTAATAATAATGATAGCAGCAGCAGGTGTCAGCAGGGCCATGTCCGGATCCAGGACCAGGATCCAGATAGAACCTGTGAGACGGAAACACAAAAAAGAGAAGGTACATTTATGACATGCATCAATTACATGGGATTGGAGAGAGAGGAATTCAGTGGGTCCTAGGCAGTCCTACCGGCAGTTTAGGCCTTTAGCAGCTTACCTAAGGGCTGGTCCAGGCTAACCTGAGGCAGCTTTCAATATAAGTGATACCAAAGAGGAAAGTCTCAAGCTTTATCTTAAATGAGCTGACTGTATCTGCTCCCTGGACTCAAAGTGAAGCCGGTTCCACAAAAGAGGAGCTTGATAACTGAAGGCTCAGGGTCTAATTTAGTTGACATATGTTTAAGTTTGCAGCTACTTGTTTTGATAACTCTTACTGAAGTAGTTCAACTAGTTCAACAGAGCATTTGTATTCTGCGTTTACTTTAGTAAAATGTTCTCCTACTGCTGCCCCATTCTAACCAATCAGACGGGCTGCTGGGATAAGGGGGTGTGGCCACGGTAAAGGTATTATACTGGATTTTATTTAGAATAGCCTATGGATGTTTTCACTGATGCATTAATACACACAGACGCCAACATGGACTTCCTGCTGTCTGTTACCACAGGATGCTGCTCCTCTTTATCAGAGCTCCTGAAGGCTTCACAACAACCAACAGGACCCAATGAGGAGTTAAATATAACCCCCCACCCCCAACAACCTGTCACTCAAACACCACCACGAAGCTCTGTGAGCCACGATTACAACGTCCACATGTCAGCAACCGACGTCTTCCATCAGATACAGTTAACCTCCATTAGTATGAATACAACTACAGTAACATCAACAAAACCTTTGTTAATATGAATAAAACCTTCAGTGATATGATTAAAACTACCATAACATAAACAAAACCTTAATTAATGAGAACAAACCTTAATTAATATAAATAAAACTAATATCAACAAAACCTTCAGCCTCCACTTTTTCAAACATTGTAATACTTTCTGATGATTTTGGCTTTGGAGATTTAATTGTTCTTTTACATTCTGTAAGATTAATTATCACATTGTAACTGTTATTCTACATAAGACCTTGTCTCTACTTTTAGTCAGCATTGTTTCGTTTCCATGGAAATATGGGACTTCTATAGTAAAGGGAAAATAAAGCCCACAAGTAGTAAAACGTGGCCTTCGAACATTGTCCATCAGTTGTGGTAGTAGAGGACATCGTATGCTAAGCTACCGCAGTGCGGCGTCTCAATGACTCCTCAAGGCTCCACCTCTGCTGAGAAAGGATTTTTTCTAATGGGTGAAGAAAAAGCAGCTTCAAGCTTCATGAACATGAACATGAGAAACAGCATCCAGGGCATTTAGACGAGACCCAGATCAGCATTCTGTGAGGTCCCAAGACCTAGTCTTCACCCAGAGCCTTCACACACAAAAAGAAAAGTGGTGATTTAAAAAAAAAATTAATAATGATGAAAAGATAAAAGAAAATTTAATTAAAATTAAAAAGTTAAAAATAAAGTGCACTGGCAGATAACCAGTCTCAGTGGGGGACCGGGCTCTGTTGATGAGCCCGACTGCCGACGGGACGAAACTGTTGTGTGGCGTGAGGTCTTGGTCCTGATGGACCTCATTGTCCTCCCAGATGGAAGGGGCACAAACAGTTTTTGTCCGGGGTGAGAGGGGTCGGCTACCATCTTTTTAGCTCGCTTCAGAGACCTGAAAGCGAACAAGTCCTGCAGGGACGGCAGATTGCAGCCTCTCTCTCTGCAGAGCGGATCACGCGCTGCAGCCTGCCCTTGTCCTTGACCTTGGCTCTGGACCTCGGCGTCCAAGGCGGTGATGGAGGAGCAGAGGATGGACTTAATGATATTGTTAATTTTGTATACCTCTATATAGTGTCAATTAAAATTTGAATTTAACTCAAAGAGAGTTGATTTGTTATCAAAAAAGAGTTAAATTAT